AAGAGGGCGATGAGAAGGTGGGTATTAAGGAGGAGGAAGAAGAAGAAGAAGAAAAGAAGAGGTGGGCGATGAGAAGGTGGTATTGGAGGAGGAGGAGGAAGAAGAAAAAAAAGAAGAAGCAGAGGAGGAGGAGGAGGAAGAGGGCGATGAGGTGGTATTAAGGAGGAGGAGGAAGAAGAAGAAGAAGAAAAGAAGAGGTGGGCGATGAGACGGTGGTATTAAGGAGGAGGAGGAGGAGGAAGAAGAAAAAGAAGAAGAAGAAGAAGAGGAGGAGGAGGAGAAGGAAGAGGGCAATAAGATGGGTGGTATTAAGGAGGAGGAGGAGGAGGAGAAGAAGAAGAAAAAGAAGAGGTGGGCGATGAGAAGGTGGTATTGAGGAGGAGGAGGAGGAGGAAAGAAAAAAAGAAGAAGAAGAGGAGGAGGAGGAGGAGGAAGAGGGCGATGGGGTGGTATTAAGGAGGAGGAGGAAGAAGAAGAAGAAGAAAAGAAGAGGCGGGCGATGAGAAGGTGGGTATTAAGGAGGAGAAGGAAAAAGAAGAAAAGAAGAGATGGGCGATGAGAAGGTGGTATTGAGGAGGAGGAGGAGGAGGAAGAAAAAGAAGAAGGAGAAGAAGAGGAGGAGGAGAAAGAGGAGAAGATTAAGGAGGATGGGCTATGAGAAGGTGGTATTAAGGAGGAGGAGGAGGAGGAAGAAGAAGAAAAAGAAGAAGAAGAGGAGGAGGGGGAGCGCGATGAGAAGGTGGGCATTAAGGAGGAGGGAACAGCAAGGTGGGGGTGAGTAAGGATGTGAAAGTATAGTAATAGTAGTAATATGATTGGTGGTGGTAGTAGTAGTAGTAATAGTAGAAGGAACAAGAGGAGAAGGAAGAAAGGTGGAGGAGGAAGAGAAAGAGAAAAATGAAGAGAAAGAGGGGGAAAATCAGAAGAAGAAGAAGAAGAAGAAGAAAGAAAAAGAAGAGGGCGGCTAGGTAGAAGAGACGAGGATGTAGAGTAATAGAAAGATAAGAAGGGGAAACAGAAGAAGTCGAAGGAGGGAAGGGTAAAGGATAAACATGAATAGGCAGAGAAGGAAGGTAATGACAGTACCGCAAATGATAAAAGATTAGGGGTGTTAGTAAACATCGGTGTGTGTGTGTGTGTGTGTGTGTGTGTGTGTGTGTGTGTGTGTGTGTGTGTGTGTGTGTGTGTGTGTGTGTGTGTGTGTGTGTGTGTGTGTGTGTGTGTGTGTGTGTGTGTGTGTGTGTGTGTGTGTGTGTGTGTGTGTGTGTGTGTGTGTGTGTGTGTGTGTGTGTGAGGGTGATTAACGAGTGTATAAACCGATAGATTAAATTATTGCGTCCTCCCTGCGGATGCGTTACATTGACTAATTAAGTAATATACATATATACATCTAAATTACGTGATATATGGAATCTTGAATCAATATACGAAATAATCTAAATTCACAGTATTTTTTCAGCATCCTAATTTTGTACTTAATGACATAAATCCTTGATATTTCTTAAATTGAGCTGATTAGTTGGGAGAGGTACAAGCGATGAAATAGTGGATGAAATCAAAGCCGCCATATTTTCACCTTAGATAAAAGGAAGATATACAGCCAAATGAATGACAATTAGATATCATATAATCATATGCATAGACAGGAAGTTGATTATGATCACAATTGGTGATCGGTGAGATGTAGACGCTAATGATAATAATAATGACGACAATAATAAGGATAATAATAATGATAATAATAGTAATGATAATGATAATTATAATGATGATGATCATATAATAAATAATAATAATATCATTAATAACAATAATGATAATAATACTAATAACAATGATAATGATAATAATACTGATGACAGTGATATTAGTAATAGTAACAAAATAAAGGATAATGATGATAATAAAGATGATGATGATGATGATGATAAATAATAATAATAATAATAATATAATAATAATAATGAATAATAATAATGATAACAATGATAATAATAAAATAATAATGAATAATGATGATAATAATAATAGTAATAATAATAATAATAATAATGATAATAATAATATAATAATATAATAATATAATAATAATAATAATAATAATAATAATAATAATAATAATAATAATAATAATAATAATAATGGTAATAATAATGATAACAATAATGATAATGATAAGAACACAAGAAAAAGCAAAAACGACACTCACTGAGGAACCGCCCCCAGGTACATCGATCCGTCGAGCACAATATCGAAGTCGACGTTGAACAGCTTCTCCTCGGAGTTAAGGACGACCCTCATCTGCTTCTGGTGGATCTCGATGCGGACCTGCTGCCAGTGACCCGTGTTGAGGTGACGCTTCGAGGTCAGGACAGTGCGCTTGACCTGATCTCGGTATCGGTACATGAACTCTAGGTCTTTGTCTGGTTTTGGGAGAGAGAAATAAGGTCAAGTTAATGATGGTGAGAGGAGAAAGAGGGAGCTAATGGGAATATGATTA